ATTTTCAAGAGGAAAATGAAAACTGATAGGTCAATTGATAAGTACAAGGCTAGACTTGTAGCTAAAGGTTATAAACAAAAAGAAAGTCTTGATTACTTTGATACATATTCTCTCGTTACAAGAATAACATCTATTTGTATGCTCATAGTTATTGCATCATTGCATAATCTTGAGATACATCAAATGGATATGAAAACAGTTTTCCTAAATGCTAACTTAAATGAGAAAATTTATATTAATTAATCCGAAGGGTTTGTTTCTCCGGAACAAGAGAAGAAGGTGTGTAGACTTATTAAATCACTTTATGGTTTAAAACAAATACCAAAATAATGGCATGAGAAATTTGACAAGGTTATGGTGTCAAATGGTTTCACAATTAATGAATGTGATAAATGTGTCTATGTCAAAGACACAAATAATGGATATGTCATTATTTGCCTATATGTGGATAATATGCTCATTTTAGGTAGTAATAATAATATTATTACAACTACTAAGAAAATGTTGTCCAGTAAGTTNTGGATGCAAACAAAGACTATTTGAAGTTTTTGATACCTATTTCCTTTAAATGAAAGAAGACATCCCCTTGAAAAGAGACCTTATAATCCACCAAAATTCAACCCTCCATCATCATATCATTAATTGTAAAATTAATCCTTAAAANAGATTTGGGTGTTACAGATGTTATTCTAAGAATTAAAATTTCTAGAACATCTGATAGACTTATATTATCTCAATCCCATTATATTGAGAAAATACTTGAGAAGTTCGATAAAAATGAAAGTAGTATTGCTAGAACACCAATGGATATAAATCTTCATTTGTCTAAAAATACTGGTCAAAACATATCACAATTGGAATACTCTCGTATCATTGATAATCTAATGTATGTTATGAACTGCACTAGACCGGATATAGCATACTCAGTTAGTAAATTGAGTAGATATACAAGTAATCCGGGAGTAGACCATTGGAAGACAATTATCAGGGTTCTTAGATACTTAAGATATACCCTAAATTTTGGGCTGCACTATACAAGATATTCACCTATACTTGAAGGGTATAGTGATTCAATTTGGATATCTGATATGAAGGATACAAAATTCACAAGTGGTTATGTTTTTACACTTGGTGGTGCAGCTGTATCTTGGAAATCCTCTAAGCAAACGTGTATTGCCAGATCCACAATAGAATTTGAATTTATTGTTTTAGATAAAGCAGGAGAGGAAGCTGAGTGGCTTCGCCAATTTCTAGAGGATATTTCAATATGGCCTAAACATGTGCCAGTAATTTATATACATTGCGATAGCCAATCTACAATTGGTAGGACACAGAGTGACATGTATAATGGTAAGTCTAGACATATACGTCGTAGACATAATACCGTTAGACAATTGCTCTCAAATATCATTATTTCCATTGATTATATAAAGTCAAAAGATAATCTAGCAAATCCGCTTACTAAAGGTTTGATGAGAGAGCAAGTAAATTGCACATCGAGGGGAATGAGATTAAAGCCTATGACACAAGAATTACCTTAATGACAACCCAATCTAGTTGACTGGAGATTCCAAGATCTAGGTTCAAAGGGACAACCGAATTATACGTGATTCAAAAGAAGCACTATAGAGATAATCTCTCCTACATATTCCTATGATAAACTAGTGCTGCCTGAAGAGATTATTAGGGTAAGCTATGCTTTTAATGACTCTTATACCTTAGAAAATTTAAGTGGGATATTGCAGGATATTCCTAATGGGAGTCACCTATATGGATGTGAAGGGGCCGCTTTTGTGAGAATTTTTAAAGGCTGAATTCTCTAAAGTATTTATGAAAATCAGGAGTTGTTCAAGGCCAAAATGAACACAATCATGAGAACCAATTGTGTTAGGAAAGAGACTATGTGAAGCCTATTCGATTTGATTTATCAAACAGCTGAATAGTTCAAGACATCACGTTCACTATTTAGCCGATAAGTTTGATGGGCTTTCATTAGGGAAGGTTCAAGGGCAAAAGCTATCTATGTCGATGCACGATCTTTTTAAAGATGTACTCTCTATAGTGTGTCAGTATTATCATTTGCATACTAACAACCAATTTTTCATTCATGTGGGAGATTGTTACACCAAAAGTGTGTACAAAAATAGAGTTTTAGGTTAATTTTGAGCCTAAATTAAAGTGGGACCCATTAATTATTTTGAATAAATTTTCGTGAGTTCATATTCTACTCAGTGAGGAGTATAACGTGGAATATTCATTTGCTCAAATCGAGTAAGAAATGAATGAGAAAATAAGCTACAAAGTGACCCTCTTGAAAAGTAAAAATAAATGATGTGCAATGTGGGATTTGACATCAATCCCACATTGGTTGAGTAAGAAATTCAACATGGGCATATATAGCTCAAGTTTGCTCTATGGGTTGGGCCCCAAGGGGTACCATAATTTTATGAGCGGAGCGAGTACCTACATGTTGTTGGGTCTACCACACACGCGCGCGCCGCCCGCCCGCCCGCCTCGCCACCACCCGACCTAACGGAGCTCAGGTGTGGGTGTGCTTTAGACCAAACCCTATCTTTTTGGAAAAATTTCATTTAATTAATTAAACATGAATTTCTTAACCCGAAATTAATTTCGATATCCATTAGATAATTTGGATTTGCTCCAGTCCGAACCAGTTCGAAATTTTCAAGATGTGACTGTTCCTGAAGAACAGTTATTCAAGGTGTCCGCTGGCTGGGTTGATTTTTGTTTCTAGGTTGTGTCCTTTAGTGAGGTGCCTGTCCGGACAGTCACCAGACTATCTATAAATACCCAGTGCATGCATTCATTTTGTTCATTCAATTTATCAGTTTATTAAGGCATTAAACAGTTTGCATTATGACATTTAAGATAGTAAGTTTAGAGAGTACACGACACAAGTTTTGGTTTGCTGTACGAACAGATTGAAGTGCTGCTTCTGTTCGTGGAAGATCATTGTATCCTAGGAGGCAGACGCTCGGATTCCATAAGCACCGTGTGTAGGGGCGAAATTTGTCTTAAGGATATAGTGTCAAACACTAGTCTTGATCTACAACGAGTTCAATAATAGTTCTTATTCTGTAATCGAGTTAGTTTTTATATTAATTTGGCATAGAATTACGTGCATCTGTTTGTTGTAACTCTTTCGTGTTTCATAAGCCTATTGTAATTTTTTCAATACTGTGTAACTGTTTACTGTAACTGTTTTGATTTGTGTTATGATTCTACAGTTCACATTTACTGTTTGTTTTATTTTAAGTTACATGATATCAGAAATATCAATAAGTGATTTTATAATTTTGGAACACCACAAACAACAATTATTTATTATAGGTGAACTCTATTATGAATTTTCGGCCATATTTTTTATAGAACCCTCTTATCTCTTCTTTCTCCAAGTTCAAATTAAGGAAAAAAAATCAATATAAAAGTAGAAGTAACAACTGATTTTATTACGAAACAACTCATAATGTTTATGTGGATCATCTAGCATTGGATATATTTCTTACAATAACTATCCTAGCTCTATCTTATCTTTTGTTTCATTTCTTCTAAAACAACCACAAACACTTTTTTAATTATGAATCTACTATAAAAAATTCTATGCATAATCTCATTGAATATGCGTATTATTGAATATTCTCATTTTTTAGTTATTCAACTATTTTATTTTATCTAGTTCAATGATGGTCAAATTAATCAATATTTATATTTTTTATTCAAAACTTAATCAGCATTAAGTATCAACATAGGTGTTGTGTTTCATTGTTGGGTCAAATATAGCATTAAATAGCTGTGGTATTGGGTATCATAGGATACCTGCAGACTATGGCCAGAGTATAGATTTCAAGTACACTCAATCAGTCATTGTCGTCTTCAAATAGTAACTATTAGTTTGGATAATTATTGGAGTAATATTATTGCTCTTAAAAATGTCTCTGTCTGTCACCATCATATATAATTAGCTGCCAAAGGAAAGAAAAAAGCATCCAAATTAGCTTAGCTTTCAACTCGCACCCCCAAAAAACCGGTGAGAGCAAACGGAGGGAATTGACTTTCATTCTCGGGACCGTCTACTCTACAACGGGGGATTGCTTGAAGATGTGCGCAACATAAACTAACCCTTAGAAAAACACTGATGAAAAGTCGGGATAGAGACGTGGAGTAATAAGTTAAGGATTTCCTTTACTAAAAAACAGAGTTTAAACTCGAACCACCACAATCTAAATTCCAACTATCTCTTAAACTCTCGTACACCCCCCCCCCCCCCCC